AGATCCGGGTAAGAATTGATCTTCAGTAACCCATGCTTGTCATAAGTGGAGAATAACGGGATCGGGTGGTCATGCTCGCTGACTTTGATGACACATTCATCGTATCCCAGTTGCGTACATCGATGCTCTTGATCACGTTCACTGGATTGTCTTGTCCAGACTCGATTATTTACAAACTGCCGACATATGGCTGGAATATTGTGTGGTATAACACTAAACCCACTCAGTCACAAAGCACATTTGTAAAACAAGGGAACAAAGTGAAGCTTCGTACAATCAAACAAAGATGACATTTTGGAAAGAAATAGCACATTTGTATTGTTTTTGACGCAGCTACATGAGTCCAATATTCTAAAAAATCGCCTGTGCGTTTGTTTGGGGTTTTGTAAGAGTGTCTATTATATACATGTATTTCATAGATGTCGACAGGGATAAGTAAAAAATGCCCAACCTCGTGATCCCGACTATTTTTGTAATAATGAGAATTTGACCCGAAAATAGCAAATGTATTGATTAAAAAAAAATGATATCCCTAAAATGCCCATCAGTAACTGAGTACTTTTACAAACATACATATTTCATTATTTTTTTAAATTTTAAAATATATCATGTTTTGAATAACAAAACCACGTAGTAGTCTTTCGGTGCTTACTAGGGGTCAGTATCGTTCACTGTTATGAAATCGCTAACGTGAGAGATAATAGTTTTTATTGCTCCTTTTTTACACATATTAGATATGTTTTCGAAATACAAGCTCTCAGTCTCAATCATCTGGTTTTGTGTGCCATCATACCGTAGGAAGAACTACTACCCCAAGAAATGTACGAAGCACTGACGTGCAACTTACTGGGAGGTAACGTTAACGGGTCTTAAAACTATAACGACCTGTGTTTTGGATGTCGTACACATATGAGACCGCTTACATAAACCTGTTTTAACATAGTCGTGCAGACACAACCTCGTTCAGTCACTCACTCACTCAACGAAAAGTTTTCCCTCACAATCTCTCGCACTCAATAAAAATCCATCACCTTCTCACTCTCTACAACACACTCATGAAACAAGAAGCTCAATCTCCCTCATCGTTCCATTCATCCATTTAATTACTGAAAGGAGGCTTCACACAAACTCGATTTACTCTTTCACCCATTCGATCAATTAACTTTATGGTGATTTCAAATATATTGTATATTATTATGGTTGAAGAGGAGAAAACCGGGCTAACGCGATCGGAATTTTCAGCTTTCAAAGTGAAATATTACGAAATCCCATCAGTTCCCCCTAAAATGTTCTTTTCGACGGATTTTGTCACAGGTTGTTGGTCAATGTCCTGTCGTAGCTGTTATGTTTGGTTTTGTTTGGGGTTGTTGGGGTTTTGGGGGGGGTTCTGTTTTTGGTTTTTTTGGTTTTTCTTTGTTTTGTTGTTGTTTTGTTTTTTTAGAGGGGTGGAAAGGGGAAAGGGGAGTTCCGGTTTAGTTTTGATATTTTATTGGCGTGTGGCGTGTGAGCTGTACATGCAGCGTAAGCACCATGATGTGGACAATACTTGAACGGGTACATCTGTTTCATTCAATTCAGAAGACCTGGGAAAGTTATTCATCAAGCAATTATCATATCAGAAGATCTAATCTGTTTAACTGATTTAAAAAAACGAATAACTCTTTCACACATACCTCCAGTGTAATTACATTAGTAGTATAAGGAACGAGGACAAGTAATCCTAATGGCGTTATGTCTGGCTAATTCAGCTTCCAGCGACCCCTAAAAATCATGATCCACGAGCGATCGAAGGCATCATTTGATGTCCTGTATGGCACCGGTGAGTTTCGGCAACCAAAATAGAAACAAATACAAAACAAATGCAAAAACAATGGCAAAACCTGACACTCACCCACTCGAAAAGGAAAGACGATGAAGAAGTCGCGTTGCTGTTCCCAAGGGAGTCGAAGTACCTGTAGTATAGCTTCAATCTAGTCCAAAACATACACGCAAACACACATGCAAACATACATACGAAAACACACATTTTTGCTAGGCCATGTAGAAGGGGTGCCCGAGGTGGACTTTGCAAACTGGTTTGGGTGTTTCTGTCTTCTCGTCGGCCTGTCTGTCGACTGGTGTGTTGGTCAGTGCGTTGGCCAGTGTGCCGTGTTTTCAAGTCGACCTTCCTGACAAACACGGTGGCTAGCGAAAGGTAGGTCAACTTTTGGGCCGATTCTAGCATCTGCCCCACCTTCTGGATATCCAGACGGGTTTCTTCTTGCTCCTCATCTACACTTTCTATTTCCTCACGGAGTTCGTCGAGAGTGGTGTCGTCGTGTAGACAAGCCTAGACAAGATGTCAGCCAACATAGTCGTGGTTTGCTCCGCATGGGCCTCGATCCTCCCCAGGCGGTTGTAGAAGTCCCGTATGGTTAGGCCACGTTGTATTTGGAGCTATCTCGCTGGCGGCAAAAGGGTTGAAGATTCTGCAGAGTGCTGCAGAGTGGTCCCGATACCAAAGTGCTTTTTCACTTTGGCTGTCGGTAGACACCGCGAAGGGAGAGGATTTCTTGGATCTGGTCTGGAGACAAATCTCCTTTTGGGGACATCGTGGTTTTTCCTGGGTATATATATCACATACTTCCCATATGTCTATCTGGAAACCTAGTTTTTCCAGTACATCGGATTGAGACCTAAAATGTATTCGATTAAAATACCCGACAGCAGTGAGATAAGAAAGGTTAACGGTGTGGAAAGATACGTCGTGAAAAGACAAATAAAACACGAACAGTTCAAGGAGTCCTTATTAGATAGAAGAACGATCAAACACAAGATGAACGCTCTGACAAGTGACAAGCATAGGGTATACAGTTTAAGGTTGAACAAAACATCGTTGTCACTGATGGATATAAAGCGATGGATTGCTAACAATGGTGTAACGACTTATGCTTATGGACATACAAAAAAGTTGTATTGAAGGAAAATATATATAAATTATGGATAAAATAGCATTGGTAATGGGGATATTAAAAAGGGAAAGGTGGGTGAGTGTCACGTTTTGCCATTGTTTTCGCATTTGTTTTGTATTTGTTTCTATTTTGGTTGCCAAAACTCACCGGTGCCATACAGAAGCTAAGGCTCCTATAAACAGGGAAAGGACATCAAACGATGCCCTCGCTCGTGGATCATGATTTTTAGGGGTCGCCGGAAGCTGAATTAGCCAGAAATAACGCCATTAGGGGTACCTGTACTCGTACACCCATTACTACTACTACTACATTGATGACAATGTACCTTACGATTGTCTTCTGACATTTATTGAAGATAGTGAACAGTGCCATATAAGATATGTGTACCATGACACCACACATGTGAGGACCCTGTAAATAACAAAGCATCCTGACTCCTTTAAAGAAGCTCCTACTCATCGCTTGATTCAGTTATCAAAATATTTGTCTAGACTCTCGAATACATGTATTCAAAATAGCAGGTGCAAGTTAATAACGACAGGCAGGTCTCGGCTCTCCTGTTTATTATATTTTATAAAGATAATTTCAAAACTGTTTATTTGTTCATTTGAGACTAAATGGTAGTCTTAACATATAGACTTGTGCATTAAATTCATCAGTTAAGATCTCAATGGAGAAGTCAAAAGTCTTCTGAGTGAGTGAGTGAGTTTAGTTTTACACCGCACTCAGCAATATTCCAGCTATATGACGGCGGTCTGTAAATAATCGAGTCTGGACCAGACAATCCAGTGATCAACAACACGAGCATCAATCTGCGCAATTGGGAACCGATGACATGTGTTTCACGGGTCCAAAAGTCTTCTGTCTCATCCATTTGGCAAGGAAGGTTTAATCGCTTGTATGCAGCCTTATAATCACACGTAGAAGCGAGTAAGTAATGAGGTTTAATGTGTGGCGTGAAGCTCTGAAAGGAAAATTTTCCACCCGCACTTACATAAACCCACGTGAGTCATATATCCCAACACGCAAAACTGTTCACCTGACTTGGAAATAGATGGCGGAAGTCTGTAAATAATCGGGTCTGGACCAGACAATCCAGTGATCAACAGCATGAGCATCGATCTACGGAAATGGGATACGATGACATGTGTCAACCAAGTCAGCGAGCATGACCACCCGATCCCATTAGTCACATCTTACGACGCGCATGGGTTTCTGAAGATCATGTCTAACCCGGATCTTCACGGGTATGGTGAGCAGTAATCAAAGTAACACTTGCTTTCATACTGAGACACTGAATGGTGTGCATGTGCATACAGTTTTGTCAACGGTCATCCGGAGTAAATATTTATGACAAGAAGAGTCATGGCATCAATACTGTGTTGCACCACCAATAAGTGTTTCTGTGATCTGGGACGCTGACGATGTTAGTGCCGACTGTATCCTCGATACTCAAGAAGCGAGAATAAGGTATTGATTTTGATTCATTCCCCTCTATGTGGACAAATTGCATGTTATGTTTGCATTCACCATAGTTTGCAGCATTAGATCTGGAGACAACACAAAGCCATGCAACCTCACTCCTTGACTTTCCTTAACATGTATCGAAGGACAACTGACATATTTTCAGCATTTTCATTATAAGCGGTGTGATGAGATGTGAATGGATTTGACATAACGTGACGAGACGTAACGTGACGTGATGTGATATGATGTAGCATCACGTGATGTGACATTACGTGATGTGATCTGAAAACCACTGACCCTCTTCTCGCTCTCTTTGAACATCACATGCATATTGTATGAAAGGGCTAGATAAGGATCGGGAGCAAACAGTGGCCCACCATAATTAAGACTACAAAGGGAAAGCATAGTTCACTTACAATTTCAGAATCGATTACATTCATTTGAGGTCATACACCTCAACCCTTACTAATGTAGATGTATGAACCGCGTTCTGTAATACACTGTGCCCAGTCGTGTCTCATACACCTTCTGTGTACTGCAACGGTATTAATATTTACAAATCAAAACCAGACCAGATGGATTGATTCCATATTTTATTGAAAACATGTACTTCGGTCGGGGACGTTCCATGTGGTCAAAGATGAAGGTTATCTATTTGGCAGCAACACAAGAGTTGCCACTGACGCTGTAGGTGGTCTCTGAAGCCAGGACGGCATTCCTGTAATGTAAAGGTCCATCGTGGGCTAAGAGTGAGGAATTGTCAGTGATGCACTTCCTTCAAGTCAGTTAGATTACATAGGGTAGATGTATTTTATCATGAATATTTGCAAACATCCAAAACATGTTTCCTCGCTTATTCATCTTATTGTCCTTGTCCACAGGAAACAGTTTTTGTGTTCAAGTATATCAATTACATGTAGACGACAATTTGGTCTGTTCCTTATTCATTTCTCTTCAATGACTTTCAAAAGTATAGATGTTAAACCCAAAGTCTTTACAATTCCAATACACAACGATTTTATATAAAATCGTAGTATTAATCTTCAGAAGATTATACAACTTCTTCTTCATGGGCGTCCAATCAATATATTATAACTTGTAGCCTCAGAGTTCATACTCTACTTTGTTTTGAGTGTTCGAGAAGGTGAGAACATTTCATGGATATACTTACTCAACGCAGTTCAACTGGCATACATTGTCGTAGTAGTTACCGACAGTGTCACAGACAGGGTTCAGGATGAGGGGACAAATGCACTCACAGTTGGCAGTGCTGGCTGTAAAGAAAGATGAGGGTTAAACTAGTTATCCTGACATTCTTATCCTGACATAGGTCCCTCAGGTTTCTATGATAGTTTGTCTTTCATAAGACATTTCATTACTGAATTAAAACAATAGCCAGGTAGCTTCATTTAAAATCATGAATCATGACTGCTTTTTACAAGGTACAGGGTCCATTTGGACATGGGTCACTCCTTCTGAAACCAACATCCACTTCGGATATCGGAACGAATCCGGGATTACAAATAGAAGCGACAAAACCCTTTCCACATTCGCATAAGAAATCTCTGCTAAAAGCAGAGTCGATTGTACAATTGTGACTAAAGCAGAGCAGATATTTGTTTCAGCAGTATTACAGCTGTAAGATGTTGTTTGTAAACAAATCGAGTCTGGAAACACTCTGGCAGTATCACTCGAAAATGCACAATGGCTTCTTAATATACATTTGAATAAAACTGATAAAACAGGTATAAAACTCACCGCAGAGCACCGCAGCAAGAACAGCAAGAATAACAGCAGCCTTCATCTTGATGCTTCTCTTCCAAACAGGATCAAAGTATCGAATGGAGTAAGACGTCTCTATTTATACACTACATAACACTCATGAAACACCCTTTCAAAAATATATAACTCCTCGGTCGATTTAGAACTTGGTTTTATAGTGAATTAAACATAAATATCATCTTCAAGTACAATATTATTATCAGTAGCTGATGTTCTGTGTCACGTAAAACCAAGTTCATATCCACATAAAAAATAATCTCATGACCAACATGTCTGATCATTGACAGTGGGTCAAGTATATACGATACAGATTTGTATTTTCATGATTGCCGGCATAATGCCTAGAGTCATATGTCAATTTTCAAGGCATCGAATATACAATGAAACTTGTAAATCGGAAAACCCATAATGTTTATCAACTAGTAAAATACAGCCGATAACATTACTTTTCTGCAGCACTCTATTTCTGAACTCTCACGATTGAAAGACGGACACTCTGCGATGCAATGACGTCACGCTGGAATATTTCAAAGTCTGTTATAACTTTGTCTGGTTTGGCGATTGAAAAACAAAGTCAAAACGTCGTCAATGTTCTACCGTGATCACTATACAGTCATTAGGACGCATTGGTGAAACCTTCCTAGACATGTAGATTTGATGCATCAGTGAGAAAAATGATGTCCAATGCAGTTCCCTTTTGACTTGTACGATACGTTCCGGTGTTTGCGGGTAAACAATTGACTAAAGTACTGTCGGAAATAGAAAAAAACTGGGGGGTTTTCACATTTATATGTACAATTTAGGTAGTTAATATATGAAAGTGTGAAATATCTGTGTGATCTACCTTCAGTTGTTGAGAATCTATAGCCTGTTTTTATATTGTATTGTCATTTATAGTTCCGATATTTAAGATTTAATTGCTAGTTTTAAATGGATATCTGTGATACACTAGTAGTTTTACTGTTCTTCGTCAACAGGTTTCTTAATTTCTAACTTTATTGATCTTTAATATAATTATAAACAGTTCTCGTCACGATATGGCTGAAATATTGCCGATGTGACGATAGATATGAACTCACTCACTCATTGACTAAAGTACTGTCGGAAATAGAAAAAAACTGTTTTTTCACATTTATATGTACAATTTAGGTAGTTAACATATGAAAATATTATATTAATTTTTTTGGGCGTGTGTGAGGGGGGTGGGGGACAGAGATGTAATATTGCCAACATTTGGAAATAAGAAATTTGTTGAAATAAAATTGGAGATGTATGCTTTCTTTTGTTCCTCAGTATATACACCGGGTATATGGGGTGTTACACCCGGTAATGAAACAAAGCACATAAAATACCCACAACAAGCTGGCGCCTTGTACATGACGGTCTGACACAGCATAAACTAAACTACAATATTACTGAGGAGACATTCATATCACTTCAAATATCTTATATGGACTTGGGTTGTGTATAAATACAGTAATATCAATTCAGTCGATACTTTGATTCTGTTCGGAAGAGAAGCTCTACCTCAAGCATCAAGATGAAGGCTGCTGTTGTTCTTGCTGTTCTTGCTGCGGTGCTGTGTGGTGAGTACAATCATTGTTTTGTGTACAAGTTGATGTGAATTTTCTGAGGGTGTCATATTTGGCTAGTGCAACCAGGTATGTTCGCACATAGGCCAGAGAGGGGCAGTGGGGTAGCCTAGTGGTTAAGCGTTCGCTCGTCAAGTCGAAGACCTGGCTTCGATTCCCCACATGGGTACAATGTGTGAAGCCCATTTCTGGTGTACCCCGCTGTGATGTTGCTGGAATATTGCTAAAACATGCGTTAAACCATACTCACAGGCCAGAGATGAACGTTACACGTGGGTTACTGATTGTGAAACAGAATAGATTTCAGTATGCCAGTCCATGTTTTACAAAAATAAACAGCCCAGCAGCTATAATTCATCAAGATGATACGTTGTCAAGACAGTGGAAATAATTCATCCGTCGCCCCACATGAAGGACATGTCCCAATATCAGCTTAAAATAAGCATCTGAGACCTGTACCAATTGTGAAACCTACGAACGTTGATACGATGCTGAGAAATCTAGAAAAAAAATCACTTTTAAGTGGGATTCGAACCAACATCAACACATTTTTCGCCTGCGCTTAAAAAAATTGGAAAATCCGCATAATCCGATAATCAAAGTTGGCCCTCAAATATGGAAATTTAAAGAGTAAGTCTCAAGCTACACCGAGAGGAAATGTTTATTGAAATAAGCTAGTGTTCAAGGGACCAGTGTCATGAAAACTTTAACCCCTCTTTATCTCCCCTTACAGCCAGCACTGTCAACTGTGACTGCTTGTGTCCCCGTATCATTGACCCCGTCTGTGACACCGCCGGCAACTACTACGACAATGCGTGCCTCTTGAACTGTGTTGAGTAAGTATATCCATGAGATTCTCAGATCCCTTGCACTGAGAGTATCAAATTAGCGTTGAGTTTTTTTAACAGGTTAGAATGCAGCAAAAACATCCCTGCTATGAAACCACAGCAGGTTCTTTGTATGTAGAATAACACGACTATCGTTAGCCAATATAAAATCATACACGAGTGGATGCTCATGTGTCTTTTGTTGTAAATGACACGGACAGACTAATTACAATGATATGGGCAGTACGGAAACATGTCTATTTCCCCCTGTCAACAAATCGGTCGCGTCCATGTTTATCATTTCAAGCAGTTGTCTGGAGATCATAGATGACATGAAACGATGGAACTTTTCAACCCGTATTAACACATAAACTCATGTAATGCAAGTATATATTGGCGGAACTCCACCCCATGAGAACTCATCCTTTACGATGGACCTTCACATTGCAGGGGTGCCGTCCAGGCCGCAGAGGGCGCCTACACCTTCAATGGTAGCACCTGTGTTGCTGCCAGGAAGTAGATGACATTCACCTTCAACCACTTGGAACGACTGCGACTATAGGAGCGCTTAGTGTTACAATAAAATATAGAATTCTTCCATCCAGTCATATCTGCGTTTCAATCATTCATTCATGTATGCATGTATGTATGTTAGGTGAGGTGAAATGGGGTTTAACCTCGGGCCTTAGAATATTTCGCTCATATGACGACGTGCATGCATGTATGGCTGCTTGTACTAGCCCAGACTGAAGCTGGGTTATTGGTGTTAGTTCACTGAGATACCATGTCACAGTTGAGCATGAATACCCCACTCAGACACATTATACTGACTCCGAGCCGACCAGTCCTTGTTGTACCCATGAATGCCAAGCGCCAGGCAGGGATCAACAAGTACCATACAAGTGGGGAATAAATGAGAAATATGAAATGAGACTACGTAGGTACTACGAGAGAGAGAGAGAGAGAGAGAGAGAGAGAGAGAGAGAGAGAGAGAGAGAGAGAGAGAGAGAGAGAGAGAGAGAGAGAGAGAGAGAGAGAGAGAGAGAGAGAGAGAGAGAGTGCGTGTGTGTGCATGTAAACTTAAAAGTGCCTCCATTACACAACATATCACTTCAATGGGGATCGAATGAGAAGCCACTATCTTTGGTTTACTGGCGACAAAGCTTCGTATATATTGGCGACTTTATCTCGTGTATTGGCTCCCTACTTTCAAATATTGGCACCCTATTACTGACACGGTCCTAACGCTGAATCCAAACAATAATACCCCCATAACAGAAATACAGAAACAAAAACTCACAATGTTTTCATCCATTTATTACATGTCAAATGTCACTCTAGCACCGTCGCGTTCCACAACGAAGTGTAGAGTTTTAAATATTTGAACAGTGGGTGTCTTGACTTCTCTTGGGGTCAGTGGTGTCGGAGACGTGAGATGTTGAACTAGTTGCCGATGTGGCAGATGTGGCAGTTGCTGGTGTTTTCCTCTGGACAACATCATCGACAATCTTTAACATGCCCTCGCTTGTTCTCTTGTACCTGCATTGTATATAGCAAATACTTATTCAATACATCTTACTCCCTCACTGATATTTTGATAGACATTTTACAAGTGATTATTAGCAAGTGAGTTTGGACTTACGCCTCATTTAGCACTACTCCAGCAGTATAACGGCGGGGGACACAACGCATGGGCTTTACACATTGGGCCTGTGTGAGGAATCGAACTCGCGCCACAACCACTATAGCCACTAGGCTACCTCACCGCCCATGGACGTGATTAATAACCCTTAAATACGGTGCACACATATCCCATTATACCAGTGCCTATTTGTGATCAAATCAAACGGATCTTGTTCAGTATCTGATTATTTCAAATGCAATAACACCTATGCTTACAAACGAGTAGCTGTCGATGTGTGACCCGTCCTTTCGGCAATCAGCTGCTCATCCAAATCGCTCTGATACAGGCGTGTGGCCGTGTGGCCGTTGTAGGCCAGGGGAAGTGGTTCGTACAAAATCATTTAAACCCACCCCAGACTGAACGCGTCTTCATATAGGAGCGGCAGAATACCACTGGTTTGGCTTAGCCGCTTAGGATACTTGAGTGAATGAAGGTAAAAGTCATCACAACCCACTGGCCTGCAGTCAAATTGTACATACATTGCATGCAAGCTGCACTGTAGCCGTCATGTTGGTTTGTTGTGTTGGGTTTCTTGTTCATTTTTTAAACTATTTTTTTAAAACGACAAGAATGTCATTTTTTGGTAAATTTTGGGATTTTATGTAATTACCATATTATTCACTCACCTCAGTGACATGTACTTTTGGTGAAATCTAACTGGACAACGGGCAGGGTTCTCACATCTACTGAAATGACCTTAGCAGACAACCTTTTGTTTCAGCCCTCCTGAATTCGTATACTACTCACACTATAAGGATCACAAAAATTCACAACTTTACTTGTATTTTAATTGTATCCATTTAAAACTTGATAAATAATAATATGGTAGCCCCTCTTTAGGCAAACAGCCACTTTCATCTAACCTTATGCACCTGATACATGAGTAACAATAAAACGGTTTTCATGGTATCAATCAACCAGTTTGCAAATCATGGAACGAGTCATCGACAAATAAACAACACCTGTCAATAGCAGCTATGGGATCCACAACATGCAATCGCATACTGAAACCTAGGATCCATGCTTACAATAAGCTTAGATATTTAAACCAAATTTTACACCACATCATAGTTTTCTGTTGAATCTTTGATTTGATCCTTAGCAAAGTGTGAATAGTATATTTGAAACCCCTTCAGAGTATACCAGTTTCTTTTTCTAGTAACACGGAAGTTTGAACATTCACCTACTTTAAGAGCACGATGTTCCTCTCCACCTCTTAAACAAAGTTTATCCCATTCAAATAAAAAACGGTTTCAAGCAATTTCTCCGAGGTGTCATCCCCAAGCAACCCCCTCTCCCACAACGCATCCTCCTCCTGTGGTGTGATGACGTTAGCTCGCCTTCCATGCATGCCAATACCAGCCTGGGCCAGTGATTCATTTTAGCATCAAGAATGGTTCTCAAACCCCTAAAAGCAAAATCGGTGGTTAGGTTAACATCTCGACCACTTTGGCGCATGAATCTCTGCATCGAAATAAGAATCTCATGAATTGCGTTGCCGTTGTATTGACTTCCCCTTTGGTTCCTTACTTCTGTGACAGATTCAGCGTTCTATTCACATCTTCATCAGGAAGACTTAATTTGCTGCTTAACTCCGATTCAAACCCATCCCTCTCAGGTTGCCATGAATAAAACATTCGCACCCTTGCAGAGTGGTATGAGAATTGACACTAAATACTTCCATTCAAAAGTTCCTCAAAATCTGAATTAATGTCACTTTCATTTAAAGTTTTGGCTTCGGAAAATGTATTTTGAATTACAACACAAAGAATCCCAATTACCTTACATGACTGGAAACATCTGGTAAAATGGATGCAGTAAAATATTTACGTTTCCTTTGTAATCTTCCAATACGCCGCCTCGTGCACAGTAGAGCGTGTTCGTAGCGTGTATATCGTGCTATCCAGATGTTGCGCGCCAATATTAATATTGCTGTGTTCGGGTGCAAGAGAAAAATAGGGGGCCAATATAAATTATTTTAGGTTTAAGCGCAATAAATTCTTCAAACTCGCCAATTTTCGCGCGGCTGGTCGAGTCCGAGGCCGTTAGGATATTGGCGAGTCTTCGGAGTTTGTTCCTTACTTAAACCAGGCTTCATGTGTGCATTAACAAATCATTCTTTAGTATGACAATACCGTGCTGCATGTACTGTCGATCTGAAAATTAGTTATAGGGGTTGTAAAATATCACTGTCACCACATTGCAACACGAGGCGAGTGAGTTTAGTTTTGAGCCGCACTCAATATTCTAGCTATATAGCGGCGGCCTGTAAACGAGTCTGGACCAGACAATTAAGTGATGAACATCATGAGCATCGATCTACGCAATTTGGGAACCGATGACATGTGTCAACCAAGTCAGCGAGCCTGACCACCCGATCCCGTTAGTCGCATCTTCCTACAAGCATGGGTTACTGAAGATCAATTCTAATCTTCACGGATCTTCACAAACAGGATATATATGTATGGGTGATCATTTGGTTGATTGGTTAACGCCGCACTCAGCAATATTGGATAGACAGTCTTTAAATAATCGGGTCTGGACCAGACAATCCAGTGATCAATAGCATTCGATCTACGTCGATGACGGTCATCCAAGGAATAAATCCCGGTTCGCATGACCTACGAAGAGTCAATGGCCCGGATCAATACAGTAATCAAAGTCTTGCTTTCATACTGAGACACTTAATGGTGTGCATGTGCATGTTTCATCCGGAATAAATATTTATGACACGAAAAGTCATGGCATCAATACTGTCTTGCACCAACATAAATGTTTCTGTAATGTCGGACGCTCCGCGCGGTCATGCGCAAAGGTGAAGGTGAAGGTCATCTACTTACTTGTCGAAAATAGAAATATAGCACACACGTATTTACACGACAAAATAATGTCACCACATCCCTTGACCTTCCTGCCTTGATGTGACCCACGTAATGATACGAGTCGACAATCATGGGTATGATTACTATCAGAAATATAGATATGACCAGATGGATTGGTTCCATGTGACACTCCACAGCCATTATCTGCTTTCATATTCGGGGTCTTAATTGAAGACAAAGTTGATCTACTTCCAGACAGCAACATAGCAACTGTCAGTGACGATGTAAGTGCCGACTGTATCCTCGATACTCAAGAAGCAGTAATAAGGTATTGATTTGGATGCATTCCCTTTTGTGTGGACAAATTACAATTCACGTTTGCATTCGCCATAGTCTGTAGGATTAGATCTGGAGACAAACACAAACCCATGCCACCTCATTCCTTTGACTTTCCTGAACCTGTCTTGAAGGAAAACTGACATATTTTCAGCATTTTCATTTTAAGTGATGTGATGAAATGTGAATAGGTTTGACATAACGTGACAAGACGTCAAGTGACGTGACTTGACGTGATGTGATGAGATATGATGTAACATCACGGGATCTAACTTCACGTCATGTGATGTGATAACCAGTGACGCTCATTTTGCTCTCTTTGAACATCACATGCTTATTGTATGAAAGGGCTAGATAAGGATCGGGAGCAAACCGTGGCCTACCATAATTAAGACTACAAAGGGAAAGCATGGTTTACTTACAATTTCAGAATCGATTACATTGAATTGAGTTACATCGCCATCCTTACTGATGCAGATGTATTAACCTCGTTCTGTAAAACACTCTGCCCAGTCGTGTCTCATACACATTTTGTGTACTGCAACGGTATTAATATTTACAAATCAAAACCAGACAAGATGGACTGATTACATATTGTATTGAACAACATGTACTTCGGTCGGGGACGTTCCATGTGATCCAAAATGAAGGTCATCTACTTGGCAGCAACACAAGAGTTGCCACTGAC